TGGATGACTTTTCCTGGGGGCAAGCAGCATCGAAGAAGCACTCCTAACCAAAGGTGGAATTCAACATAGAAAATGGGCATCTAACTAAGAAGCCTCGCACCGGAAAACCGAGCTCTCGATGCTTCAATTGACATGAGTCGTGGCCAATGAATCAGGTCTTTTGGTTTGGGAACCCGCTTCGGATCACGGACTCGTCTGATTCTCCTCCCACCAAGCGAATAGCTCTTTCACTAGGTGTTCGCCTCTTCGACCCACTTGGTCTACTGTCTGGTCGTAATCTCCGCCAAACTCTTCATGCAAGCACTCAAATCCATCAAACGTGCAGTACCACTTCTACTCTGATGCTTCTCAGGGCGCGTGCTGTTACATTCGATCGGCAGACCCTTCTGGAGCAGTCAAGGAAGCCCTTCTAACAGCGAGATCAAAGGTAGCACCCGTAACAACAGAGCATTCCTCGCCTTGAACTATGTGGAGCACTACTCGCTGCTACGATACGATGCATGATAGTGGTTTACCACCCATTGTAGCACGGAAACTAAGTCCAATAGCAGTGGGCTCTCTTCTCTGTTTGTCTTGATCAAGCTTAACAACCTCTGATTGTCCTCGTCGCTGTACGAAGGGCCAAAAACGGATTGGGTAGATCGGTAGGCAAAGTCGCTTATACGCATCCACGGAACAATAAAGAATCTCCTTCCAGCAACTTGATCTGCCAATTGGTCAAAAAGACAAGCCCCCAAACAGGAAGATGCCCCAATGAGTGGGGAGAAGAGCCCTCCCTTTATCAATGAAATGTTATCAACATGAATTGTCTATTCTGACCAGACTTGGTAAAGTTGCCACTACTCAAATTCCACCAAACAATGGTACATACAGCAAAAATGGCGACACAGTGGTTCCCAAGGAGATGAATCCGGTAAATTGAATTTGGCAGCCAAACAAGTGGGAACAGGGCTCGTGCAAAAAATTATGGGCTGCTCACCATCTTTTATAATTATGTGTATTGCATGAGATTTGATGCAGTGGACCTTTTCTGGATAAATCCATCCAATCCATAAAATAATCCAAAACTATCATCACAAAGCCGCAATACCTCGATAGTTGATTATTGACTGCTTACCGCCTTAAGACAGGGAAAATGAAAGAATTCTTCCAGCCATCAGGAAAGATTCCTGAATTTAACGAGAAGTGCAAGATGAATGCTAATGGTGCGCTCAGGACTCCTATGCAGTTTTTATTCACAACCGATGGAATTCCATCAGGGCCATTCATGGAAGATTTTTTTATTTCGAAGACCTGCCTCTCTCAATAAAGGTGGATGAGATTCAACAGCTGGATTAAACAGTGCCTATAATATTTTGAAAATGAGTGATGGGAATATTCATAAATGACGTTTGATTTGAGGGGGGTCTCAGAAATTTTGACCTGCGATGTATTAGATATAGAGCAAAATACGCTACGAACGGAAGATGGGTGGGTCAAAAATTTGTCAAAATTATGCTACATCATTTATTGAAGGTCCCTAATGAGTAGGGTGTCCCAAAATTGCACTATGTCTGGAAATCAGGGGGCTCAACCTCCAAATGATAGCTAAGGGTGTTACGAACAATCTTTTGTTTGGCGGCAACTCTGGGAAATGTTGTAGAGTTCGCCCCGACGAAATTCTTGAAAAAAATCCATTTTTCATAGCTATTATCCAATAAATATTTTTAGTTCTTTAAATTTCAGTGAAATCTCACCCTTTAATATTTTTCGCAGATTTCCAAGGGTCAAAACTTTAAGAGAAAAAATTGCTACGGCATGTTCTGTGTCCAATTTGTTAGTTACCATTTTTTTCAAATTCTCTAAAATAATGTTTTTGTTGAACATCACTGCATTCAATCATCAAAAGTGGATATCAAACATAGCGCTATTATCAATCAAATCCAGCAGAAATTTTATAAGCAAAAACTTTGCCGAACATTTTTAACCGTTAAAAAGTTATTTGTGATTTACTGTGGAAAGAAAAGTTCAGAATTTCAAAACTTGCAGTATGTCCACCAGCAAATCAAACTATTATTGAAATCGATAAATACAAATCACCTACTTTGTTGCAAATCACTTGATAACATTTGTTTCGAAGTTTCTAGAATTCAATAGGAGGATATATGAGCGGAGAGGGATCACACAATTTATTAGCTTCCATTTGATTGCCGTAGCAAGCAGAACCAAAAAAGAAAATCATCACAATTAACAATAAGGGTTTTATGAGGGTTCTGCAGACTATGAATTAGACTTGTAGCATGCTTTAAAACCGTGATAAAACTTGCAATGTTACTTGGGATGTCACCAAAAACCAAGCTCAAGTCGGATCTCATCACCGGTATTGCGAGGAAGCATTTGCCCAGAAACCGTTTGCCGTCGGAGTTGGCCGTCATCAGGTACTTTCGATTCAAGCATGAAACCCAACAACTTTCAATCGGAAAAAGCATTCAAGTTGTGGCTACCGAAGCTGCTTGCATATCAATGGTACACTGCTTGAGAAGCTTTTCGGAAACTCAACCGGAACTTTGTTTGTCACCTGCTGGCTCCAGAATTCTGGACGGACAGTATCGTTTCGTAGCTCTAAACAACATTTCCCAGAGTTACTGCCATACAAAAGTTTGTTTGTTACACCCTTAGCTATCATTTGGAGGTTGAGCCTCCTGATTTCCAGACATAGTGCAATTTTTTGACACCCTAATTATGAGTCACGTGGAATGTAGAGAAGTGTATGAATATGAGTCAGATGTATCATCAATTCCCAACTAACAATTTTGGTTTTATGAAGGTTCTGTAGACCATGATTCAGACTAGTTGAATGCTTTAAATTCTCAATAAAACTTACAATGTTACTTGGGATCACATATGACCCCAACATATAAATGACTGTATAACATCATAACGTTCAGAGTTGGTTGGAAATGCTAACATGAAGTTTTAGTGTGATAATTTATTAGCTAGAGAATGATCTTTAGAAGAGGGTAGGTGGATAGTTCCGTTAGAGTACGACAGTATGAAAATTGAATTGAAGTTGAAAATGAGCGAAGGGCCATTAATGCGACAGTTTTTTTAAAGCTAGACGCACATCTTTTGCCTAACCAGTACGATGTACGCGGAGACTTGTCTCCAAGTCTACAGGCTAAACCAACCAACTCTGAAAATCGCTAATTTCGCGTATGAAGTAACATAACAACACTTTGAATGTAACAACTCAAGGCGGGAGTAGCCGTCAACAATGCTGATGATGGTACAGCACGCAACAACCACCCTACTACTTTATCTCTGAGATGACCACGTTGGTCATGACGAGAGGAGCAACACAATAGTTAGGAAAGAAGAATTGCATTATAACACACCATCGACTGGAAATGCTCTCGCAAACGTGGGGCTTTAGGTAGTGATGAAACGTCACTAGAACTATTCCACAGCCACAGTCAGTTATGAGCAGAAGGCGGACGCACATCTTTTGCCTGTAGACTTGGAGACATACTTCAAGTCTCCGCGTACATCGTACGGGTTAGGCAAAAGATGTGCGTCTAGCTTTAAAAAAAAACTGTCGCATTAATGGCCCTTCGGTCATTTTCAACTTCTATTCAATTTTCATACTGCCGTACTCTAACGGAACTATCCACCTACCCTCTTCTACATAAAGATCATTATCTAGCTGATAAATTATCACACTAAAAGCTTCATGTTAGCATTTCCAACCAACTCTGAAAATCGCAAACCTCGCATATGAAGTAACATAAAAACACTTTGAATGAAGGTGTAATGAATTTCAAGGCACTGCCAAGAATGCACGTATAATCAAAGTAGTTTTTCACGCCAAAGTCACGAGTTCAAATCTCACCCCCGGACAAGTCACGAATGACCCAAGAGTGTTAAAGTGACTATAATAATAATAAAAAAGTAGTTTTTGTGATATTCAAACACATATACAACTAAACAAATCGAATAGAATGAAAAAGATGTGGAGGCCACGTAGGTGCAAATATTTAAATATTTTTAAACGAGTTGATTTAACTATATTTAACTAACGATTTAATCTTTAATAACAAGTTAAACTTGTGGTACAGTACAATGGAAAAAGGATTCACATGCTATACGATTTAGCTTAAACATAACGCGACGTATGCTATTATTTTATGTGATATTGATTTAAATTGTAGCAATGTACGATACTATCTGTCTGGGCATACCATTATTCGTATATTTAACACATCCCAGGAAACAACTGCACTGGTCATTTATTTTTCCACAACCGCAAAATTCAACGCGGCACCGCAAAGTTTCTGCCCATTGCGCATAACTGCACTTTCGATGCTGTAATTCATCGGTCCAAGGTACTGCATGTATGACGGGGATATGGTGAATCCTGTAATGGAATACTTCCCTTTGGGAATTGGACATTTCTGGAGTGCTGGACGGGCTGAAACAGTCCAAATATGCGGAGTCCTAATATGGTCACAAACAGCCTCGTAAAGGTCTGCCATTTCTTTCGGTCCCCTCGGATCCAAGCGCCATAGAACTGCCGATAGAATTAGCTGCGGTCCAATGGTTTGCTGCAAAGTGATATTACCCAGTAGCTGCGTTTGATTCGGCTTTGGTCGTCGAATTTGTAGGTTATTGAGCAGAATGAGGGTTTTCTCACACTTCGGGTCCACTATAAAGGATTGCAGTTGGATAATTTTGTCAGCCTTAAAATATGGCTCACATTAGTTTGATTGAAACTCAATATATTTGAAACCTTACCATCACGTGGATTACGAAAATGGAGCAAACGTGGAGCAGCAAAACTCTTCCAGCGATCATGTTGTTAATATTAGCACTTGTTTGTGAATGCGGGTGTCGTATAATGAGCATCAATATGAAAGCGATTTTGGAAATGAATGAAACCTCGCACGGCAATCATTACCGTAGCATTTATACTTTATTATTGCTACTACTACTATGGTCAATTTTCAAAACACCCACAATACATCCTACTTAATAGTAACTCGCAATTTATAGCCTCCTTTGATCTTATCATTCTGCACCATTTGTACTTCGAGGGTGTACTTGCCCGGGGGAACCATCGGTGGCAGTTGGCTCTGATTCAGTTCATACTTATCGATGTGGTACTTTCCCTTTGGAAATGGACAATCGCCTTTGCCGGGCAGGTTGGACAGCTGCCGCAGTGTCTCCATCACCTTCCCATCGACATCCATTGCTTCGCAAAAACCCGAGTTTCCCGACATCACGGGTTGGGAGTTGTCTCCCAGGTTGATTTGAAAGACGCACTGCCGCCGTTGGAAATGATCAGAAATCTTGTGTTCTGTTACCATTATTCTGCAGACTTACCCGGGTATCATCGTCCATGTTTTCAAAGAACTCGAATTGCCCATCTATGACGAAGAGATTTCGGCTTTTCTTGGACACCCGCAATGTTCCGTAGTCTATGAAGCTCGGATCAGTTCCCGAGTACGGCTCGAAGGAATCGATGGAGATGTCATATAGCTGGAAGTTGGTACAAAGGTGGTTTGATAGAAGAGAAGCAAAGGCAAATGTCAATTTATTACCGCAGAGTCGATGGTTTGAGCGGACAATGCGAGAATCGCCACGACAAAGCAGGCTGTATTTTGTCGGTCCATGGTTACGGCAATGGAGGGAAGGTCATGATGGTTGTGGGTTTTGTTCATATGGTTGCGTGTTTACGGGTACTTATGTACCTGTGAACAAGGCGGAAATTTCTCATTAATTAAATACACATAGCAAACTGTTGGGTAATTAGTTGTCAGCAATTCATGTCAAAAGCTAAAAAATACACAAATCCAATCCCATCTTTGAATTCGTTGCGCGAGCATGTTTTTCCACCGTTCTTGAAACAACATGAATGTAGGGAAAAGTGTGAAGTCTGTTAAGAAAATCCACCAAATTTTCGAGTAAATGATAGATGCAAAATACAGGAATATTCGGGGGATTCTTATGTCTTTTCGTTTTTGAATTATAGCGTTAGCATTGTTACGGTATATTTCATAGATTGGATACTACCGACATTCACATCTCTTTAGAAATTTCCAGCCAGACTGCTTTCAGCAATAATGCTGGGGAGTAAATATCGATTCAAATCTTAATTCAACAATAATAAGAACAGCATGACTGTCACTATTCCCGGCCACACCCATCTTTACCGTTACTAGGGATAGGGAAGGAAATGTCGATGTAGTACTAACTTAACGAGAGGCAAAGTACAAAGTAGCCATGATTTTTGTGCTCTATTCGACTTCATAATGTTTGTGCCAAGTCAGTTTCTTAATAAATGAGTTTAAGTTTTGGGAGGCTAATCAGGACCCAATTTGGAACCGCTTGAGCACTGTGGAGCTAAGATTTCAAAATTTGCATCAGTCTAGTTGCCATTCCTAAGATCCTACTTTCATAAGTTCATGGTTCTTGAAGTAAGACTACATTCCAGTTTTCCTTTGATGAATGTTTTGCTTAGTGTTACCGCGTAGCGTAATTTATGGAAGGTTAAGAATGCTCGAATTTCTTATCAGTAGTCATCTCGCTTTTGCTCATATGCATCCCTTATCAGACCATCGCAGTTTCCGATCTATGAGCCGATCGTTATCGCACATTACTACTTTGACCATCTTCCCGCAGATCAATAAAACCCGATAGCAGTAGAGTTTGAAGTTAAGTTGCCAATAAACATCCTATTGCATCACATCTGAATATCATCGAGTATACTCAGGGAGCTCAGAAATAAAGTGTCGTTCTTTCGCCCAAAAATCGAAGCACATCTATCCAAATTCGAAATATTCTACATAAAATTTGGTCCTTCGAACCGGATCTTCGCTTTTGGAATTTGTGCTTGCGATTTCGTTGTCGTCGGTTCGGTGATTTCTACCGGTTTTTGACAAAAACTGTGAACTGATCGAGAAAAGAAACCCTTAATCGAACACTAACATTGCGTGGCTAAAGTGAGAAGAATAAATCGATGTGGCTGCTGTGAGAAAGTGGTTGGTGCTAACAGTTGCTGATTGTGTAATAACCCGCCAACGAAGAATCGTCGCTTTACTAGGAGGTGCTATTGACGACAAGGAAGTATTGTTCTCGAGTGCTATTGTCGTTGGATTACGATAGCGTGGCTTGGGTACCACTGCCGCAGATTGGCGTAGGTATCACCGCTTGGCGTGGCTTGGGTTCACCACCGATCACTGTAAGTAGTACTATCTGCATGCTACATAAGACCGATCGTCAGGAACTTCAACTTAGCTGAGGTTTTCTGCATCATCAAATTTTTCATCACTTTTGCATGATCTACTTGGTTCGAATTCGGGAGTTGGTGCACACGTGTTTCACACGAGTTTCCTGGTTTGTTCTAGTGCAAGCAAGAGTCATTATGCCACCTAATGTAAAGAAGTTAACGAAGAGTGAGAGTTTCTGTCAAGATTCGTTGAAAAATTTGGCATATCTGGTGGATAACTATCAAGAGCATAGAGATAGGAATATGCTTGAAGGCTGGCAGGAACGCTTACACGAGATTTTTGAGGATTACAAGGAGACTAGGTTGCAGTAAGAAGTATCTGAAGATTTCCAATCTTCAATGAAGCAAAAGCTGGAATCAGACGCACTAGAGCAAGCAAAGGAAGGGAAGGAAGTTCAGTCACAGTCTGTGGAACAAGCAAATAGAAGTGCTCGTGCGGCATTTGAGCTCACGTATTTGAGAATTAAGGGTTTCATTATGTCCAAGATTCGCGATCATGACATTGAAATGAGGCAACCTGCCCCTGTGAATATCCCTCAGAGTCGGATAAAGCTACCTGAGATCAAACTCCCTATTTTCGATGGGACTATTAGAGAATGGCCATCGTTCCGTGATTCATTTCGGTCACTTATCGACTCAAACCCCCAACTCAGTGATGTAGACAAATTTTCTTACCTTCTATCATCTCTGTCGAAGGATGCAAAGCGTGTGGTCGAAGTGATAGAAGTTACGATAGATTCAGGTCAGATGTCGAAGCTTTATCATCGATCAAAATAAAAAGGGAATGTCATGAAGCTTTGAATCGTCTGATCGATGCTTTCGAACGTAATTTGAGGATGCTAGAGAAAGCGGAAGAACAGCCGGAGAATTGGAGTACGTTATTGGTCTTCATGCTCAGCTCTCGGCTAGATCCAGCCACACTGCGTCACTGGGAGACGCACAGAAGGTCAACGGTGGTGCCTACATACACTGAACTCGTTGAATTTCTACGTAGTCATAGTCTCGTGCTGCAATCAGTCGATACGTCTAAATCTCGATCGTCAGATGCGTCTCGATCCTCCTCACAGCGTCCCACCTCGTTAACTTCCAAGCAAAATGTGGTGCATTCTGGAGTGACAGCTCAGAAATCCTGCTCTTTTTGCAAGCACTCTGCTCATTCACCATACCAATGCGAAGTCTTTCGAAAAATGACTCCTACGCAGCGGTTTGATGCCACCAAAAGGAACACTCTTTGCATCAACTGTCTGTCGCCTTCGCATCTCGTCAAAGCTTGTACGAGTGGAAACTGCCGGGTATGCCAACAGAGACACCATACGATGCTGCACCAAAGAACTTTCGCCCCAAATACTCAATCGGTCCAATCCTCCACCAATTCTTCGTCATCGGATTCACCCTCATCATCATCCTCAACTCAAAACCACCATACACCGTCTGCTCCACCGAAGAACCAGTCTCGACCAGTAGAAAATCAAACCCAAGCCACCGCGGTCCCTACCCCCCAAACAAGCCACTTTTCGATACCCTTCGCCGAAGCTCAACTCAGCATTCCTGCAACTGTATTGTTGTCGACAGCTCTTGTGAAGGTCTTCACTTCGTCTGGTTTCCTCATATGGGCTCGCGCACTGCTGGATTCCGGATCACAGCTCAACTTTGTTTCGGAGCATCTCGCACAAAGATTGAAACTACGTCGCAGCAAAGAATTCGTTCCAATTAGCGGTGTTGGTCTTTCGACTACCTCATCTAAACACACCACCATCATTCGCATCCAGTCTCATCGTGCTGATTTTGAGGAGAATTGGAAATTCCACGTACTTCCGAAACTGACACTAGAATTGCCGAATCAACATGTTGCCGTCTCCAGATCCAGTTGGCCATCCGATATTGTATTGGCGGATCCAACTTTCAACAAACCAGGTCCCATCGATTTGATTTTCGCCGTTGACATCTTCTACGACCTTCTTCGTAACGGTCAGATCAAACCCAGTACCGGAGCACCAATTTTGCAGAAGACCGCCCTGGGTTGGGTAGTTTCAGGGAAGAGTCAGACGCAGGTACCTTCTACACTAGTCGCTAATGTCGCACACGTTTCGAATAAACCATCAATCGAGGATCAGCTGGCTCGGTTCTGGGAAGTAGAGTCTTGCCACATCAAGAGTACGTATTCCATCGAAGAAGCGGAGTGCGAGGAATATTTCAAACAAACGACGAAAAGGGATTCATCTGGTCGTTTTATCGTCGCCCTTCCAACTAAACCTGCAGTAATCTCGATACTTGGGAATTCAAGGGACATTGCCGATCGTCGGTTCTACTCCTTGGAACGCTGGCTCAACGCTAGTCCAGCGCTAAAGGAGGCATACTCTGCGTTCATACATGAGTACGAACAGTTAGGCCATATGAAGCTAATAGATGACTCACTTCCTAGTTCAGATTCCACCTACTGCTTGCCTCACCATTGCATCGTTAAACCGGATAGTATGACCACTAAATTGCGTGTGGTTTTTGATGCCTCTTGCCCAACTGATAGTGGTCATTCTCTCAACGAGGCACTGTTGGTTGGTCCGGTTGTCCAGGACGATCTTTTAAGCATTGTTCTTAGATTTCGAATACCGCAGTTCGTCATCATAGCCGACTTTGAAAAAATGTATCGGCAATTCCTTGTACGAGAGTCCGAGCAACCACTGCTCCGCATCCGATGGAGGGATTCTCCGTCGCTTCCACTGCAAACTTTCCAACTCACAACGGTGACATACGGGACATCTTCGGCTCCGTACCTCGCGACAAGATGTCTCAAGCAACTTTCTGAAGATGGATCAGAGAGTCATCCAGCTGCAGCTTTAGTTCTTGGTCGTGACTTTTACATGGATGACATGCTCACCGGCACCGATAGTGTTGAGGAAGGTCAAAACCTCTGCGAGGAACTAATCGAGCTTACTAATTCCGCTGGTCTACTTCTTCGCAAGTGGGCCTCGAACAATTCTGCTATTTTAGCAAGCGTCCCGCCTCATCTAAGAGATGAGCGTACACTTTTCGAACTCGATTCGGCTACTGCTCCCATAAAGACACTAGGGCTTCAATGGGACGCCTCAACGGATGTATTACAGTTTCATGTTCCAAAATTCAACACACATGCACCGATTACCAAGCAAACTGTGCTCTCGGACATCGCCCGCTTGTTTGATCCTCTAGGTTTGGTCGGACCGGTGTTGGTTCAAGCAAAATTGTTCCTTCAAGATCTATGGCGAGAAGGTTGTGAATGGAAGGAGCCACTTACCGAATCTCGTCAACGTTTGTGGATAGAACTTCGAGACGGTTTGTGTCATTTACCAGACCTGAAATTTCCTCGATGGGTCATAGAAACGTCGGGAGTTGCGTGTCTTGAGGTTC